GCAACACCTGGAGAAAATCCAAAAGATAGATGAATCCCAATTTTCACATCAGTCTGAGAAGTTCAGGCCAGGTCAGTTTATACCAAAATACAGTTGTGCCCCGCTGGATGATTACCCCGCTCTACGACAAATCCGCATTACGTCAATGTTTTTGCGATCGCTTTTGCAATCGCAAAACAATGTTTTAAATGGGGGAATTTCGCTTCACGTTGATTGGTTCCCTGTTTCTGGAACTGATTTTTCGCTTTACGACGATCAGCAAACAAGCTGATTGTCTGGTTTCAAAATGGCCGCTGGCTTTCAAAATGGCCCCCTGCTGTTTTCTAGGACAGATTCCTCGCTATACAGGCACAAAAAATGGCTGCCGTATGGAGGATCTTCGCTGGACGAGTAGGTATTCAGCCCATTGGAATGCATTAACCGGGTTTTAATGCATTTCAATGGTTTTTTTCATTCTGTTTGACTATGTTTTTGCTCTACAGTGATTTCGCTGGAACGAATTAACATCGTTAAGCGAGGCACCACTGTAACATTTTTCGCATAAGTTCAATTGGATCCAGAGCTCAGAAATGTAACAGTTTGGACTACAATTCCCAAAACCCCTAGGTAGTATTTACATGGTAGTATTCACGCTGGCTTGGAGATTTCAGGAGTTGTTGTGCTTCACAACAGTAACCCTTCTAACTTCTGTTCCTTCTCCCTTACAGAATCAAAAACATAGGTAGATTTCATCCGGAATTTCGAACATGTGTTTTAAAAAATATTTTATGCAAGTAGCACACAGCTTTTCCAGTTTTCTTACAGACTCTGTACTAAACAAAAGAGAGGAAATTTCCAAAATCTGGCTGGGTTCTAACTTTCCTTCCATGTATGGAACAGAGTTCATATTCACTAAACAGGGCTTCCCCACCTCCTCTTTCCTTCTTCAGGGAAATCCTTCCCACCTTAAAATGTGCCCCTAAAATTGGCAAACCCTTCAGTATGGGATATAAAATAGTAAGCTGCCAACACAAGGAAAGTTAATGGGAACATTTCCTCTTTGACCAGGAAAATATCCATGACAGACAGGTAACATCAGTGCTGTATGTAACAGGAACATTTCCTCTTTGACCAGGAAAATATATTTTTCTACCTGAGGCAATAGACAATATCCTCCCCACCCATTTTGCATATAGAAGCAAAGTGGACTAGCAACTCAGTTCAGTGCCATCATTGGCAATGGAATAATGTCCCATGAGAAGAAGCTTAAATCATGGAGGGCAGACCAGGCGGCACATATTCCCCAACACAGAAGGCTGGCAGGGGGGCGTTAGGAGGAATGCCTTGGGGTTTCCTCCACTCTAACATGGTACTGGCAAGTGGGAGCAGCTGTCCTATTTGATCTAATAGCAGGGCTTGCCCTGGTTCTGTCCCTTATGGAGACATAGAAAGAATGAAGGGTGTAGCCCTGTCCTAATAACCGTAGAAATGGAATATTATATGGAAAATCACCATTCTTTTACCATCTAATCTAAATTGCTATAGATGCTTGGAATTGCTAAACACATGTACGCAGTGTGTGTGTTTTCTTTAGCAGGCAAACCTGGATTTAACATATGAATCACCAAAGTCACTTTTCTGGCAAGAAGCATCCTTCTCAAATACAATAAATGATGAAACATCAACAGCCTCTAATGGATTTTTGATTCCATGCCACAGACAGCCTAAGCTGGAGGCTGACATTTTTGGGAGCCTGGACGCATGCCAAAATAACCTTATAAATTATTTGCATTCAGTACCATGGCATCTGAAATATATGAAAAGGCAGCCTGGATCTGTCTGTTGCAAGAAACAGAAATGGCAATTGGTTTTTGAAAAGTGCACAACATTCCTTTTCCTGACACATTGCATCAAAAAGCCCTCAATCTTCAATAATGTCCTTCCGCCTTGAATTCAAGAAAACGATCTGTTTCTTTTACTATCACTCCCATGCTCATGCAGTAGAATCCAGCCCAGGCTTAAATATATAACCTATTTTGTAGAATATGCCATTTCAAATCATAGAATAGAATGGTAGAAAAGCAATCCAATCAATTCCTCTTTTACATCTGTTTGGTTTATGATAGTGATTTTCAAACGTTCTCCCTACCAAACAACAACAACAACAACAACAACCATAAACTCTCTTTTCTGTCAAGAAGACCCTAAGGATGGAGAACCTGTAGTTCTCCAGATGTTGTTGGACTCTGGGCCTGATCAGCTCCAATCAACATGGCCAGTGGTGAGGAGCTTTGGTCTAAGAACATATTGAGAGGCACCCCGTGCTAAGTATACATCTAGACCTGCACATTGCAGAAGACTGCACGGTCAGTGTTTACTTGTTTCATCCAAGGCACGTGCAAGGCATTTGGGTGTCACAATCACCCTACTTCCCGTGAACATAAACCCTTCATAACACCTCTCCTTCTGCACCATGCAAAGAAAGATTGATAAGGGTGAATAAGATGTTATTCAAGGAAACTTGGGGGAGGGCATACCTTATCGGTGGAGTGTATGCTTTGCATACAAAAAGTCCAAGGCTTGGTCTCCAACATTTCCAGGTTGAACTGGAGACATTTCCTGCCTGAAACCCTGAGGAACTTCCACCATTTCGTGTACACACTGACCTGTGTGGGCCAATGGCCTACAGTGGCATGAAGCAGGTACATTCCTACCATTCCTGATCTTTGCTTGAGGAATACTTCAGTGACCCCAGTGTTCCCTGGAACTCAGTTTGAAAGCCAATGATTTATTGTTATATGCCATCAAATTGCTTTTGACTGACCGCAATCTTAATAGGTTTTTTAAGACACAGGGAGAGGTTCACTGTTATGATTCTCCACTGAGTTTTTGTAGTCTGAGTGGGGATTTGAACCCAGGTCTTCCTGAGCCCTACTTCAACAGGTGCCCAGTACATTGCAGGGGCTATCTTAATATGAGACCTTTATACATATATTTCCATACACGTAACCATTTTCTGCTTTCTCATTCTAATTCTACCGGTTGCACATGTATTGTCTTCTTACTTGTACCCAATATCCTTGCAGGCATGCTGTTAGCAAGACCTAATTAGCAGACATGTACACTGGCAATTTCTTTTGAGACTTGATTTTCCCAAGATGCATTCCTCCTATTTCATGTTATATTTTGTAGACCAGTACAAGTACAAAATACATGCATACTAAATCAGTTGTATAAGACTCCGTAAATTGATATTTGCCTTTAAAGTACATCGAAACAATGCCCCAGAAAGGATCAACCCTTGAAAGAGTTTCTACAACCACAGACCTTTCATTAGCAATGTGATGAGAATGTTGCTGTGTTTGGGTATCCTTACTCTAAGGATATAGTGCAAGAAGTCTCAAAAATTCAAAGCCAGACGCATTCTTGCCTTTCCCTCGCTCTGCACCCTGCTACAAATGCCTTCACCCCTGAACACATGAAGTTTCCTTTTACAGTTGGGTCTTTATTTCCCAGGACTCTCGATTCTGACTGTCAGCAGCACTTTGAGGGTCCTTCACTGGAGATCTTGCATAACACAGCTGCTTAAGATTCTTTCAATGAGAGATGCCAAAAAAGCAACCCTGGGACCCTCCACATCAGGGCGGGTCAAAACGCAGCCCTCCAGATGTTGTTGGACAATACCCAACGTAACTCACTCTTGTCTATGCTGGCAAAGGCTGATGAGAGTTGCAGCTGAACATCTTTGCTCACCATGATGTTCATGCAAAATAGGAATTCCACCTACAAGCTAAGTACCCTTCTCGTTGACTATCAGCATATTATCCATTTCCTTGCATTCCCTCACTCAGATTGTGATATGCACACACATATCTCCAGTTTCTCAATTCTCAGCTGAAGAACAAAGCAAACTTGTCCTATATCCTGTTGAACGTGCTTGTTCAAGATTTTAAAATTCAAGATAGAACCATATACTACTAAATATAGAGAATAGCCCTCAAAGCTGCAATCATCACAAATGATAACCATTATGTGCAGGCATTTAGCAGTCATATCAAACAGGAAGATTGGAATGGCTGGAAACATTTTACATTTATGTAGATTTTTACTGAATCCCACCACAATCTATACAGACACAATATCTGAGGGAACTCATTGTGATTCTAGAAGATTCCTATGGACTCCACATAAAGCAAAATCAAAGTTTTCAAATATGGCCCAAAGGCTCGAAACTTCACGTTTAAAAACAAATTAAAAATAGCATCAAACCTAATTGCCAGGTCACTTCCTATATTTAGGAAACTACCAGTGTCTGTTGTGAGGTTGACTTATAGGATGAAAGATAATCTTTCAGCTATATCTCTGCAGACATCCTTGTCTCTTATTTAAGGCTATTGCCAAATAAAATTCATGCCAATTTCTGTTCCAGAAGGTTGAAGTAGGAGGCCCTCAGAGCAGTAAGATGTGAAGATGATATTACATAGGATAAACCTGCAGGAAGAGTCTGTAGCTCATTCATTGCTATCTGTTACATTGCACCAGTAATAAAAACAAAGAACCTCCTTAATGGCATAAGCAACCCAAACATGGAGATATGGCAAAGCTCCAGTCAAACAGCCCATGATTTATGCCTCTTATATCCCTGGATTTTATTCTATGAAGATTCAGGGTATTTAGTTGGGTTTAATGATATTTATACCTCCTATCCAATGTTTTGGTTAATATAACCACCTTTTCTATTGTTACAATCATGCTTAAAATGCATGGCAAGTGGAATGATATATCAATGTTGGTGTCACTTGTCCAGATCCTTTCCCTTAATAACATAGCTTTTAATTATGTAAATGACCCAGGATTCTTTAGAACAGAACAGGAGCTCCGTTTCCTTAAGCTCCTTTGATGACAAACACTGTAAGGGCACAACTTTAGCTTAAAACACAATTTTCTTCAACCATCATTTTGACCAAACCTATCCAAGGCCAAACCATGAGAGATAAGGAAGGCAAAAATCTAGGTTTTACCTTGGCCGCTACAGAAGAATTGGGCTTTTCCAGAAGGTCCCAGAGCTTTTTCCTCTTCTCTGCACAGCAGGTGTTATCAAATTCCTCTCCTTCCCTCTCTCGCATTGTTTCAGCTTCTCTCTTGAGCTCCTCATTCATTTGCTCCTTTTTCTGGTGGTATCTCGCCTGGCAGCAGGACTCCAGATAGATCTCATCAATCCCCCAATAGTCCAGTTCTTGGCTGAAGGACAAGGCACACATTTCCTCCATCATGTGCAGCTTGCCCGTGCGGTAAAAGTTCAAGATGGACGTAAATGCCCCCGGATGTCTGTCGAAGAAATACTCATTCTCCTCTAAGTTGTAGTCATCACATATATCCATCAGCAATTCATGGGTATTGCAATCTCTGAGTTTACCCAACCTTGTCCGTGGCAACCTGTCCAAGGTTCTCCATAAAACTTCATGAGCCAAGCCCCCCACATTAAGCTTGACCCTTCGGGAGCATGCCTTGCTCCTGACAATCTCCATGGGATCTGGAGGCAAAGAGGTAGTAGATGGAGATCCATTCTTATTCATTCCTGCCGGCATTGCTTGTCTCTGTAAGGCTGGAGCGAGTTGATGACAGCTCCTGGAACACTCTCACACTTTTGAGCAGAATCTCTTCATCTGTTCTCCTTTTCCTCCATGCCTGCAAGAAAAAGAATCCATAAGAGCTCCAGTGACTTCTGAGAATCAGAGAGGAGCCTCTTATTTTCTTTGTGGACGGCCTGCTTAATCAAGCAATCGGACAGATGTACAAGCAGGTCTGTTAGTCAGCTTGGAGGAGCAGCTGCGACGACAAACTGTCAGTCAAAGCACAGGTCGCTGTTTAGTTCCTTGGTGCTGAAATGGAACAGAGTCTAAAAGTAGATAGTTGAGGACAGGAGAAGGGTTGTATGATGCTAGCATTTATTTTTTGACACAGGACTAACACAACTCTAGTGCACAAAGAACAGATCTGAATGGGGAAGAGATCCTTGGAACTGTCCACACCCTAAAGTGCTGAAACAGATTCTCTCATCTCCTGGCTTCCAGCCCCTGGCCAGCTGCGGCCAGCAAGACACATTAACGATCACCCATAATTAGAGCTGCAAACATATTCATGTTTCAGAGAAGTAACTGAGGCAGTCTTTCCTTGCTTGTGAAGTCATGCTGCTCAGGAATCTCATGTTGAACTCCCAAAGACCAATCACCAAACAAAGCAAGTCATTTTACATAATCCTAGAGGTGACAGAAGCTGCTACTGTGACAGTCAGACAGCTTCATTAGTTAAGAATATCCCTCTTCTAGTTTCTAATGTCTGCTTCTGGCCTGTGTTTGCAATAGCAGCTGCATGAGCCTAACAAATCCAAAATGCGGAGACCATCCATTTTAATTTATTTTGCTCTGCTTCAAGCAATACATGTCCATAATTCTCCTCACCTCTGTTTCACTAGTCTCAACTTTTGCTTAAATTTGTGGTCATCCTCTGTGTCTAAACAGCTTACTATAGGGTACATGGATCAATTGTACAAACACATAAACGTGTGTTCATTTTTTAAAAAGAAGCATTATAAATACTCTGGAAGATAGACTATATTTTAAAGACTAAGGCCACTGTAATATGACAGACTTACCCCGTCTTTTGCTCTCTCTCTCTCTCTCTCTCTCACACACACACACACACAGAGAGAGAGAGAGAGAGAGAGAAGGAGGGAGGGAGAGAGGAATTCACTTTGTGATTCAAACATCAGTCTTTTCTGGACACTAAAACTGTATATGGGGAAAGATGAAATCAGAAGACCCGAGTTCGATCCTGGGCCTAGGGGGCCAACTCAAGGTTGACTCAGCCTTCCATCCTTCTGAGGTCAGCAAATTGAATTCCCAGCTCATTTGGGGGGACGGCGGATGTGTAGCCTCTATAATCAAATTCTTCCAGAGAATGCTTTCAGCACTACGGGGCAGTATATACTGTAAGCATCACAATTTGCTTTGCATGGGACAGTGCTGTTCATAAATGAAGACGAAAACCTGAGCTATTTCTCTAATGTTGTAACAAGCTCCACACCTCAAGCTTCCACATGTATTCTCCCCCTTGTAAATTATGGCATGAGTCCCTAGGAATTCAAAGTTCTAAAATAAATTCAGCTGAAATGAATAAATCAGACCTAGATTTAGTCATTCTTATAGCAAACCAACTGAAATTCGTCATAACTAATTGCTGTTATCTGTCATCAAGTTGTTTCCAACATATAGCAACCCTGTGAATTACGAACCTCTGAAAGGTCTTGTCATTTAACAGCCCTACTTCGGTCTTTGAGATTCAGGACTGAAGCGATTCAGTTGCATGAGCAATTAGTGATTTCACTGGATTTACTCTAAGCATGGCTAAGTATGGTTCCAACCCAATCAAGACTAGAATGTCAGTGTCTGATTTTTATCCATTTGCCCTGAAATGTTAAAATATACTTTGTCTGATGTATTCTTTAGTTACCTTTCTTTGCCTTGCTCTTTTCTGCCATGGGGCTTAAGAATGACCCTTAAAAACAACAACCGGAGTTTGTTTTCAGCTATTCGGAGAAATGTGAACACTTGCAGACATTAGTCCCCTCATGCTTGCTTCTCATCCATTCACTGTTTATCAATTAGTTCAAAGATATCAGGGCACAGTCTGATACTCACTGTTAAGATGAGAACAACTAGTTACAAACCCTGATTCGAAATATATTGCTCTCCCACTTCCCAAGGAGAAAGTTAACAATGAAACCAAATTATATTCAGGGCAAATATTACTGTACAGTTGAAATAAGAGGGTTCTCTCCCCCCGCAACTAGTGACAGACTGTTTATGAATAAAATTATCTATCTATCTATCTATCTATCGATCTATCTATCTATCTATCGATCTATCTATCTATCTATCGATCTATCTATCTATCTATCGATCTATCTATCTATCTATCGATCTATCTATCTATCTATCGATCTATCTATCTATCTATCGATCTATCTATCTATCTATCGATCTATCTATCTATCTATCGATCTATCTATCTATCTATCGATCTATCTATCTATCTATCGATCTATCTATCTATCTATCTATCTATCTATCTATCTGTCTGTCTGTCTGTCTACCTACCTACCTACCTACCTACATGAATGGGGTGACACCAAAGAAGAGAGCAAACTTCAACAAAAGCTCAGTAAATAAGGGTCAACTGGGGGTAATTAAATTCCCATGTACTAGGGTGGCCTAGGAATTGGGCAAAAAGTCTGCAGTGGTCTTGTGCAAAAAGACATTACATCAGATCAGATCAATAGGGGATTCAGTTTATGAGGGGAGCAGAAATGGTAAAACCACTTCTCAAACATTAGGGCTTCTATAAGTCAGATGTGACTTGACAGCATATAACAACAAGAACAAATGCAGTGAAAGAATGTGTGAGGGGCAGCGTGATTAATATATTTAAGAAACATATATGGATAGGCAATCTCCTAAATCACTCAACTTAACAGTTGATCAGAAAAAGGTATCTGAAATGTGCTTGAAAGCAGAACGAGTCCTGAAAGGGGTGCCTGTGCACTTGAACACCAGACTCAAAAATATCTCTGGTGAAATGGGGAGGTTTAGTCTTATAGTTACTAGTTTAATACTTTAAAATTGTGTGATTGGCAAATGGGTGGTTCCCTGCTTCTTTTAAATTTGTAAGGGAGGAAGAGACATAGGGAGGAAAGGAAAAGTGTGTGTGTGTGTGTATTGGTGCTTATGGTGACAAGACAGAGAAAATTAGTTTGTAATCAAATTGAGTAGACCGAGAGCCATCATTGCCTTTCCTTCCTTTCCAGAGTGATAGTGGCAGTGCTGATGGTGGGAGGCCTTTGCAGAATTATCCCCATTTCTTTCCACACCATCACCTAGCAATAACTAAAAGGAGTTGTCATAACAACCAACCAACCAACTAACCCCTCCAAATAATAATAATTTTAAAATATTAATAATTGGGGGGGGGATGAAAAGGGGAAAAAAAAAACAGCCAAGCGGAGCAGCTGCTTAGCGGTCTTCCTCGCACTGTTGCTTATACAAGATGCCATGAAAGACAGATCCCAGGGAAAGGAAAAATGACGGGAAGCGGCTCCCCTCCGCCTTCTAGGCTGTGCTTGCTCCCTTCCTTCCCGGCAAGGATTCCGGGGTGTGTGGGGCGTGTGTGGAGGTCAGATCTTGGTGGGATCTCGAACAGGATCAACCCCGAGGGGCAACCCCCCACCTCTCTGTTGCTTATACAAGATGCCATGAAAGACAGATCCCAGGGAAAGGAAAAATGACGGGAAGCGGCTCCCCTCCGCCTTCTAGGCTGTGCTTGCTCCCTTCCTTCCCGGCAAGGATTCCGGGGTGTGTGGGGCGTGTGTGGAGGTCAGATCTTGGTGGGATCTCGAACAGGATCAACCCCGAGGGGCAACCCCCCACCTCTCCTCTC